CCGATCTGGCCCCAGAATCAGGACACAGAGGCTTGGGACCAAAAAGTGGGCACCCAGGCCAGGAGCCACTCCAGCTCTGCCCATCCCTGCCTGCCCCTGTCCCTCCCTCAGCGGTCAGTGCCTCCCACATCTCCACCTTAGGGCCTGTGAGAGACTGGACGGCCACACTAAGCTGCCCTGAAGCAAGGAAGAGGGACCAGGAGTGCTCTCCACTGGCGCTGCAAACTGGGGTCACTGGAGCAGGGTGGAGCCTAGCACTCCCTGGGCCTGGGAGGAGGGGACTTCTCTCCCTCCCCGAAGTGGCCTGAATCTAGGCTGTAATTACCTTTCGGGATCTCCAACCCCCTTGAGAATCCAGCATGTTATGCAACACCAGCCCCAGAAAAATGTGCCCACGTGGGCTCCATATGAATTTTACCCACAATTTCTGGGTCTGCAGAGCTCCTGAAGTCCATTCGAAGCGCCCCTGGAGACCTGTGGTTAAGAACTTCATAGTTCAGGAGCCGGACATGGTGGCACACACTTGTAATCCCAGCATTCTGGGAGGCTGAAGCAGGATGACTGCAAGTTTGAGCCCAGCCTGCTCAATTTAGCACTTTAGTGAGACCCTGTCTCAAAATAAAAATTAAAGGGCTAGAGATGTAGCTTGGTGCAAAAGTCCTGGGTTCAATTTGCAGTACTGAAAGAGGAAAATCATGGGGATTAAGGGCACAGAGTTGGGTTAGGAAAAAAAAGAGTTCTAATCCCAATGACTTTAACATAAGCTGTGTGACTCTGAATGGTTACTGAGCTTCTCTGGGTCTCTCACTTTCTTTCTATGGAAAATAGGGGTAATAGCAGTAGCTGCTTCAAGAGGTTGTGATAATAAATGAAATGAATCAAACAGCCTGGAGTCAGGTGCGGTAAGGGCATCAGCATTTACTGTCATGGTCATTGTTGTTGTTACAGAGAAGCCCAGGGTGGAGGCCTGCCTGCCTGTCACACTAGTGAAAACGCACTGCAATTCCATGGGGTCACAGCGGCAGGTCTCTGGCCAAAGGAGATGGGCTGGTGGGCAAGATAACGCTAAGACTTTGACTTGAGGGCCAAAGGGCCTGAGTGAGTCCCAGGGTTTCCCAGTCTGGACTGAGTCCGAGGGCTTGGGGGCTTGCGTGAGGACTGCCTGGCTCACACTTCCTGGCCATAAGGACCAACCCCTTTCACTGGTGTCTGCAGGAAGCGCTTATCATGGCAACTTTTTTTTCTTTTTCGCTTTTGTCACGGCAACTTTTGCAAAGTGCTTTTCCCTTTGTCTGGCATATTTCCCAAACTGGGGGGCCTGCAAACTTTTGATAGAATAATCCTTTCCCGTCAGTGGAGACGGAACGCGGCTGGACATTGGCCTGACATGCAGAGAACAAGAATTCAAGTCAGGACATGGTGTCGAGCCAGCTTTGAAAGTGAGCATCCTCTACGCTGAATGAAGCAGATTCGAGGACAGCTGCTTTCCGGCCCCAGGGAAAAGACACCGGCCCAGCTGATGGGGGGTGAGAACGAGGAGGCCCCCCAAGTGTCTCCCCTGCCCAGTGTGGGCCCAGGAAGGGTTTGGGCAGAAAGATGAGCGACGACTGGGTTCCTTCCCATCAGACTCATTCTCCCACTGGGCTCCTCTCCTTTCTGAGGCTCAGTCTCTAAACTCCTCTGAGGGGCACAGCTGGTATGGGGGGGCTGATCACAAAGCCAAAACACCCACTGCTCTTCAGGATGGGCACCCAAGGCCAGCAGATCAGATGCTGGGAGTCCGGAAAGCCCGAGCCCAGCACACACTAGGTGTTTGGAGTGTGGGTGGGGCTAGGACCATGGAGGGGGAAGGTTGTTGGGGAAGCTGGGTCGGTTTCTGCTGCTCTGCTTGCTTCCGTGGTGCTGAGGGTAGAGCCCAGGGCCTCACCTGCAGTGGGAGTGCTGTGCTCTGAGCCACATGCCCCGAGCTGGGCTGCTTTCTGAAGGTGACCGAATGAGCCAATCTGGGCAAAGTTAACTGAAACGACGAAACACTAGCAGGTACCACCTGCCCCGTTCACCCTGAGACGTGGAGTCCTCCTGAATATGCTGACCCAGAAGCCAAGCAATTAAACCAAATAAGCAAAACCATGGGACTGGGACTGGGGACCCGCGCCTTGCAGGTTAGGGAAGGGAGGTTTGGTGCCGTGGGTGAAGGTGATGTAGCTGATGTGGCTGATGAGGTGGGAGATCCTCTCCACTCTGATGTGGTGTGGTGAAGACTGGGTCCCAGGAAGCAGGGCCCTTCTGACCCCAGAATACATTCCAGCTCTCGCTGCTAACTTCCCAGCCACCCTGACTCCACTGGTCTTTAGGGACTGGGAGAGGTGAACAGCGACAGGGGCTGGCTTATCCTTAGGGCCAGTCTACCAGCCTTTGGGGGGTACGCACGAGGGCGTGGAAGCCTCCCTCCCTCCCTCTCTTCATCATAGGCTAGGGAGGCAAAGGTCCTGCTCCCCAGATCTGGACAGGCCCCCCTGCTAACGTGAGGTGGGTGCCTTGCCAGAGGCTCTGGGTTAGAGGTTTGGCCTTGCAGGAAGAAAGAGCTGAGGCGAATCCCGAGGGCAGGATGGGAGAAGAGCTTCACACTGTCCCCTCCACCTTCCAAGCCCTCCCGGCACCCTCCCTCTTGGGATCCTCTCCGCCAGCCCAGGACGCTGGGGACGCCACTGTCGTTAGGCCCAGCATCTCCTTGGGGCTTGCAGGGCAGCAGGACTGTGTCAGAGACAGGCCTGCCCTCGGGATGGGACGGATCTGCAGCTCTGGAGGGGGGAATTATTCTCACTATTTTTGTCTCAGAGCATCTGTCACCCCCTCCCCCAAATGGAGGGGATAGACAGAGAAGGGGATAGACAGAGAAGGGCATAGAAAGCTTCTAATATTCCCAAGTAGGTCTGGGGCTGGAACTGGGCCCCCACACAAGGATCCTTTTATTTCTGCTTAGTCTGTTTTACTCGAGAGAGCTCTAAGGCACCATTCCAAACACATAACAATTGTGAGATAAAGAAACCGACCACTGGGGTGCAGAGGCCCCTCCTCGAGGGCATGAGTGCCCCCCCCAGCCAAGCTGAGCTCACCTCCACTGCAGGGGAGGTACAGGGAGGGGCAAGAAGTCCCTCTCTTCCCACCCCAGCCTCTCCCGGTGCCCCAGTCCTGGCACTGTCTTCTCTGGGCCCTTCCCTCGGCCCAGCGTGGAGGGACCACACTGCCCACCAGGGAGTTTAGGAACAAAGCCAGTCGCGTGGGGGCCTCTTCTTCCTTTGGCTCCAAGCCCCTCTTCTTCCCTTCCTACCTCCAAAGGTGGAAACAGAAAATTAGAGCCCGACACAAACCAGATGGGGTAGCAATGGAGAAGAAGGCCTAAGGGCCCAGCCCACTGGGGTGCTAAGGGAAGTGAAACACATAGCCGAGGTGCAAACCCACCTATGTGTCCGAGGTTCACACATGTTTACACAAACACACAAGGAGAACCACACACCAAAACACAGATTCAAAGCAACCACCTCCGAATAACGATGCACACAAAATGCTAGCCTAATATCCACACATTCCAGGCCAGGGGGGCCCCAGGGCCAGCCCAGCGGAACCGGCCTCCCTGGAGTTCCCGAGGGCGGCCTGCTCGCATCCGGAGCAGCTGGAGTGGGCTCGCCGGGCGGGGCGCCGCAGGGCCGCCTGGGCCGGGGCACAGCGCTGCTGGAAGCGCGGAGCCGGCCGGGTAGTGCGGCACCCAGCCCGGTTGCGGGCCAGACCCGGCTCATCAGACGCGTTTGCCCTGGAGAGCCGCGACCAGGGAAAGTGCGAGGTTGCCCAGGAGGTAGGGCGGCCGCTAGGGCGGGCTCAGGCCGGGGACAGGCTCCTGGTGCCACCAGCTCCTCCCTCGCCTTTCGGCTGGCGGGTCCCCTCCCCAGCCCCAGCCCCACCCTGTCCTGCATCGTGCGCCCCGGCCGGGAGGCCGCCTCGGGCCCCGCGGGCCAGCCGGGCCTTCAGATTCCCTTTCCCAGGCGCGTGGCCCAAGGAGGGGTGAGGCCCAGGTCGCTGGGCTGTTCCCGCCCGGCTCCGTGCGCCCGGCAGCGCGACCCTCCCGGATCGGGCTCTTACCTGGCCCGTGCCGCGGCCGCGTCCCTCCCGGCGGGCTCCCGACACCCTCGGCCCCAAATCCCGGGTCGCGGAGCCCGGGCCTCTGGCGGGCGGGCGCTGCCCTCGAAGCCGGGCCGGCGGGAGGCGGGTCGCCGGGAAGGCGGCTCTCAGTTTGGGTTGGGGGCGGTGGCTTTCCCGCCGCCCGAGGTTCGGGTGCAATAAAGGCGCGGCTAAGGTAATTTACAAACCGCTCGCCCGAGCGCGGCCCTGCGCCCGGACTGACAGGCGCATTAGGCAGGCTAATTCCGGGCGGCTCCTCCTACCCCGGCCCGCTAATTAATGAGCTTCCCAACTTAGAGCCGCCTGCATTGGACAGGCAGAGAGGGAAAGAGAGGGCGAGGGAGAGGTAGAGAAGGGGAGAGACAGACGGGGGGAGCGGAGAGGGAGGGAGGGAGGGAGGGAGGACAGGGAGAGAACAGAAAGAAGAGAGCGGCGAAAGGCCGGGAAAGGAGAGAGAAAGAGAGAAGTGCGCCGCAGATAATTGATGACTCCTCGATCGAGGCTAACTTGTTAGCAACAGCCAACTGCCCCTTCTCCCCGCCTCCCCTCGCAGTCCGGGATCGGCGCCCTTGCCTCGGCTCTTCCCACTGTCGCCGCCCGGAGCCGGGGCCAGGAGCCTGCGGAGCCACCTGACACCTTTAAATAGCACCGGGGCCGGCGAAACTGGAGCCCCGCGCGGCACGCCCCGGCTCCGGCCCCGGACTGCTGCGAGCCCCGGCGGCCGCAAGGGCGCCCGCGCCAGCGCTCTCCTCGCTGGGCCCCGCGCGGCTCCGCCTGCCTCGGCCGCCGCGCTAACCAGCCCCGAGCCCGCCGCGCGCCTCCTGGCGCGGCCTCCTTGCCGCCCCCCGCCGCCTGTCCTCACCGCCTGGCGCCCGAGCTGCCCGCGGTCTGGGTCCTCGCGGTCGGAACCGCCACGGCCGGGCCCCCAAACGAGGCCGAGATGACTTCCAAGGAGGACAGCAAGGTGGCGCCGGGGGAGGAGCGGCGGCGCAGCCCCCTGGACCACCTGCCGCCGCCCGCCAACTCCAACAAGCCGCTGACGCCGTTCAGCATCGAGGACATCCTCAACAAGCCGTCCGTGCGGAGAAGTTACTCGCTGTGCGGGGCGGCGCACCTGCTGGCGGCCGCGGACAAGCACGCGCCGGGCGGCTTGCCCCTGGCGGGCCGCGCGCTGCTCTCGCAGACCTCGCCGCTGTGCGCGCTGGAGGAGCTCGCCAGCAAGACCTTTAAGGGGCTGGAGGTCAGCGTCCTGCAGGCGGCCGAAGGTAGGCACCGCCGCTCGGTCCCCTTCGCCCAGCGCCCCCGCTCGCTTGCTGCCTCTGCCATCCCCGGCACCCGTCAGGGCCCTCCAGCCGCGAGCTTGGGGTGGAGGGAGCGCGGCGGGACCCAGCCCCCGGCTCCTAGGGACCTCTGGATAGGCCACAGTCGGGTGGTCTGAGGGGGGTTGAGAACCTAAGAGCTTTTTGCAGTCTGCCTGCTTTGCCGGGCTCTCTCCTGTTCCCAGTGGCCTAGGTGCTTCCAACCCAGAGGAGTTGGAGTCGACAGAATCTTTGCTGGGACCTTCTAGGTAGGGTAGAGTTGACTGTTTGCGAGGGTTAGGGAATCAACAGCCACACTGCACCCCACGAGTCCCGTCTGGATTCCGGCTGCTCGCAGAGACTTTGGGTGCTGCAAACCAACTCTTAGTGAGTGGGCAGAGACCAGAACAGTTTTTCCTAGGGGCTTCCGGGAGACTAGGGGCCGGAAGAGGTTCGTCACAGCCGGTGTTTGCTGCGGTCTAGGAAGCTGAGTCCAATCGGAGGAGGGGACAGCAGTAGATTCCGGGCCAGATGGGCCTAGGTGGGGTTTGGGCTCTGGGGCAAGAGGCTGGGTGGGATCGCTCCACTCTTCCAGTAGAAGCCCATCTTGTCATTTCCTTCCAGGCCGAGATGGGATGACCATCTTTGGGCAGCGGCAGACCCCCAAGAAGCGGCGAAAGTCGCGCACGGCCTTCACTAACCACCAGATCTACGAGCTGGAAAAGCGATTCCTGTACCAGAAGTACCTGTCCCCGGCAGACCGCGACCAAATCGCGCAGCAGCTGGGCCTCACCAACGCCCAGGTCATCACCTGGTTCCAGAACCGGCGTGCCAAGCTCAAGCGGGACCTGGAGGAGATGAAGGCCGACGTGGAGTCCGCCAAGAAACTGGGTCCCAGCGGGCAGATGGACATCGTTGCGCTGGCCGAACTCGAGCAGAACTCGGAGGCCGCAGGCGGCGGCAGCGGCTGCGGCAGGGCCAAGTCGAGGCCGGGCTCCCCGGCGCTCCCCCCAGGCGCCCCGCAGGGCCCGGGCGCCGGACCCTTGCAGCTCTCGCCGGCCTCTCCGCTCACGGACCAGCGGACCAGCAGCCAGGACTGCTCAGAGGACGAGGAAGACGAAGAGATCGACGTGGACGACTGAGCGGCGGCGTCTCCTGCCTTCTCGGTCCTCTAGCTCGAGCGCCGCCGCCTCCGGACCTGACCTGGAGGGGAGCGAGGATGCCTCCGCAGCTCCTGCTTCCTTCCCTGTCCCCAGGCCTGGACTCCCGGCAGCCGCTCTTCCCTCTCAAAGCAATAAACCCTGGCGGACTGGGCCGGCGCCTCGCCTCGAGCGGCCTCCGCTGCCTGAGCCCTCGCCGTGCAATTCTGTATGGCTTCTGTATGAATATTTAAACCTATATAGTGAGTCCTTCCCACCGCAGCCTGAATTCTTTTCTTTCTCTTATTTTTTTAAACACCAGATACTTCGATGTTTGCGAAGCTCTGGCTTGCAGGGCTGGCTGAGGGCGAGGCAGAATCCAGAACGAATGAGCGCTAACCCTGAGATTTAGAAAGGGGCAGCTCCGGCCTTTCGGTTTTTCTCTGCATGTGGTGAATGCATCGGCCGGCTCCCTCCCGCGTCCCTCGGCCTGTCTCAGTTGACTTCTTTTCTTTCTTTCTGCTTTTTTCCTGCGTGGGAAGGGAGTGAGGGGGCAGCCCGGTCCTGACTTGCAAGTTTGGAAATCGATCTTTCCTTCCCCGCCAGAGAGCTGTCTTCGATGCCGTTTCTGCCTCCGATGATGCCCACTAACATCATTTTTAAGATTCTTACCTCCCTCCTGCATTTTTTCAGACTGACTGCTGAAGTCTGGTTCTTAACGGCAAAGCAGGGGGACATCCAATCAGCCAAACATTGGAAACAGAACCCAAAGCCCTAGAATTTTTTTACTCTTTTTAGAATTTTTCTGCATGTGACAGAGACAGGAGGAGGCCGACCCAGGTCCTCTTCCCCAGCTCCTCCGCAAGCTGGGTCTCTCCCCGTCTAACACCCCACTCCTAGTTCCACTTTGTCAGGAAAGGGTGGCCTGGTGAGGATGGGTCTGGCGTGCCCTTTTCCTGCTCCTGCCCTGCCCTCTCCTCTGCGGACTGTACTCGAGGCCTCTTTCTCCAATAAATAAAGTCTTTGCCATTTTACTAGAACCCACAGTGCCCGTGTGTGCGTGAATGGCCCAGCCGGGAAGCAGCGGACACGCTGAGCTTCCCACTGCTCTGGGCCTGTCACCCTAGCCTTGGAGACTGGGGGGGGGGGCGTTTTAGGGCAGGGGTGAGAGCGAGGGATGGAGGGAAGCAGCGGGAGGAGGTGCTTCGTGTCTGCTACACGGGAGGGAGAAGCAGGCTTCGCCAGGTCCGGGTAGAGAGCAGGGCCTGAGAGCCTGGGAGAAAGGAGTTGCCTGCCCAGCACCCCGAGTGCAGAACCCTTTGTTGGGGGAGGGTGGGGAGGAGACTGGTCTGGCTTTCTGTGAGCCCCACCCCTGGCCAAACGCTGTCTCCCTGTGCTCCGAGGCCTGGCTGAGTCCCGGGTGCACTGGCTGGCAAGTCAGCCGGACGGAAGGGTGCAGTCGGGGGCTCTGGGGTTTGGCCCCGCCGGGAAGGCCTCACCCTTGGGGTGGAGGTGACAAATAATGGGGCCAAAGGCAAAAAGAGCAGGCCGAATTGCCCTCAAGGGCGCTCAGTCTGGGACGTGAGCCCAAAGCGGCTGGCCCGGAGTTGGGGTGAATTTCTGGCAACAGTCACTTATTCCGGGCCGAACTCGCCGGGCAGCGGCAGGCACTGGGCTCCCTCCGCGACTCCCCGGGTGGAGGCTCAGCCGCTTTCACTTTCCGGACCTCGCGAGTTTCTCTGGGCTTTGTTGTCGCTGCGCTGGCGAGTGGCCGCTGTCACCAGAGTAGGGTCCCGCCTCCGGCCACTCGGCTCTCTTTCTCCGAAAAATTGATGTGAGAAATGCGCATCTGGTCTGGGGCAGGCGTGGGGCCCCCAGGCCTGAGTCGGGAACGGGAACGTGTGTGACTGGGAGGAAAGGAAGAGGCAGCCAGAAACGGGGTGGGAGAAAGGAGCTCGGAGACCCCGGGTCAGAGCTGGAGCCAGAGAGGCGGGAGCAGACCGAGGGGGATTCACAGAGGCCGGGAGACGGAGGAAGAGGGAGCCAAGGCTGGGAAGAAAGGCGAAGACAGCGGAGCGGGACGGGCGAGGGCGGCGGCCGGGCAGCCTCGCGGGCCTGCGGCCGGCCCCTCTCCTCCCCTCTCCTCCCCTCTCCTCTCCTCTCCTCTCCTCTCCTCTCCGGCGACATAAATCGCCCTCTCTCAGGATGGATGGGTCTGTAATTCGGAGCGCGGACCATGAAAGCCGGGACGAATGGGCCCGGGCGGCCGCTGACAGGCGACAATCGCCGGGCCCAGCCCCCCGCGGCTCCCGGTGCGGCGCGGCCTTGGCCCTCCGCAGCCCAGAGCGCGCCGGCGCTGGCGACCATATGGTTTTTGAATTTTCTTCACAATTTGTAGACAATTTGATGGATTAGGTCCCCGCGCGCGCCTCCCCGACACAAAGGCGGCGCAGGGACCGCGGCGCGGCGGTCACCGGGCATCTGCGCCCGCCCCGCGCCCCTGGCCGCCCGCCCAGCACGCCCATGAATCCCAATGAAGCGGCCCGCGCCGCCCGCCCGCTCGGCTCGGCTCCCTCGGCTCGGGCCTGCGCCGGCCCCTGGGTCCCTTCGGGCTGGGGGCGGTGGCCCCGGGCTGAGCCCACCCGAGCTGCAGCGCCCGCGGGGCGCGCGGCTAAGCAGGCGCATCGGGGCCGGGAGAAACGGGGCCATTTATCCGCCCGTCTAGTTAAAGCGGGTTATTTGTTTGCCTCTCCGGCCTCCTCCTCCCCCTCCCCCTCCCTCTGCTCTTCCCTCCCCTTCTGCCTTTTATTCTTTTGTCTCTAAATGGATTTAATGAGCCTGAAAAACATGACAATTGAATATAACCAAGAAATAAAAAATAACGAGGGAGGAAGGAAGAAGGAAAAGAAAGAAAGAAGGAAGGAGAAGGATTAATAAAATAGGGGAGGAATCAATTCAGTTTCGCAAACGTTTACTGTGCGCAGGTGGCAGGGGAAGCCCCTTCCTGCCCTCAAGGAGCCCCCAGTCTAGCGGCCGGGGGAGCCGGAGCCCGGTGGGGAGGGGCCCCGGGCGTGCCCCACGGTGGCGGTGGCTTCTCCTTTTCGAGGAGGCGGCCTGGGATTCGGGCCTTGAAGGTCGAGAACGATTCGGTGTTTCTGTAGTCTGGAAAGGAAGGAAGGCCCGGACGTCCTCGAAGGGACAGGGAGAGGCGTGCGACAGAATTTTAGGTCGCCGCGCTCTGCCCCGCACCGTCTGTGGGCGAATCCGAGCCCCTGCGAAGCACTCGGGTTCGGCCGAATTCGGTGCTCGGCCTGGCTGCGTGGGCTTCTAGACCCCGGCCCCGCGGGAGGCTGCGGAGGCCGGCTGAGCGCCCGGCCTGGGGCTCGCGAGGCCCTTGCACAGGGGCCGCTGGCCTGCACCGGGTGGGCCGAGGGGCTGGGCGCAGCGGGCGGGCGGGGCTGGGTGCCCCTCAGCGCCTTCGGCTGGGCGACCGATCCTGGCTCTCAGCTCAGATGGCCTAGCCGGCCTGGGCGGTGCCGAGGGACCCAGGGCTCGGGGCTCTGCCCATGTGTCTGGCCTGCCTGGCCGTGGCCTGCCGGGAGGTCCGGGGCGGCCGGGTGGGTCCGCGGGCGGCGGCCATGCCCTGCGTCTCGCTCCTTCCGCGCGACGGGGCGTACGTCCCGCGTGGGCGCCGAGGGCCCTGAGTGCACTGGGCCCAGGTTCGTTCAGGCTCGGCCCTCGCCTGCCCCGGCCGCTCGGCTCCTCTGGAACCTGGCTCCTTGCGGGCACTTTCGGTTCCGCGGCAGGGGAGCCAGGCCCGGGTCGGCGCCCTTGCTGTGGGTGCCGGGCCCTCCCCGGCCGCCCGGGACCCCCTATCCCGGGGCCTGGCCAGCTCTGCCTTCCCGGCTCGGCGGCGGGCGGGCGGCGCCGGGTGAGGCCGGGAGGCGCAGTTCCTTATTTTACGAGGTGTCGGGCCGGTGTCAGAAGCAGCTCCGATAAGTAATACTCCAGTCTGAGGGACCAGAACGTGGTAATTAATCCCAAAGACTTAAGTGTATTTTAGTTCAGGAGAAAAAAAATCACTAATTCAATCGTCCGGAAAATTGAAGTTTGATGCATGAGTCCCCCCTGAAAGGGACGGGCTGGGGCCGAACGCCTCCCCTCCGCCCTGCCCGTCTCCGCGAGGACCCCTCCCCACTCTTCTGAGCCCGCCGGGTCGTGTGCAGTCCGCTCACCCGCCCTGCTCGCTCCCAGCCGCCGACCCAGGGGACCCCACCCCCAACAAACTACCTCTTTCTTGGGGCCTAGAAAGCAGTTTTGTGGCAACCCAAGTGGGCAAGCACTGCCCATAGGAGGGGGTTGTTAGGGAGTCCAGAGAGTAGGGGAGAGGCCAGATGGGGCAAAGGCAGGTCAGGTGAGGGGCTGCAAGGCCTGCCGGGAAAGGGCGGGGGAGAGCCTAAGTGGGCCGCACAGTGAGGAGCGGAGGAAGGTCGGAGGCTGCAGTTCCCAAACCGAGGTGCCTGTGGGCTCCCAGCGAGTGTGGGTAGGGTAGAGCCAGAGCAGGCTGAGCTGCGTGGCGGTGAAGGGGCCCGACCTAGGGTTTGTGTGCAGCAGCGTGGAGGTGGGGCAGACACCAGCAAGCCGGGAGTCTGGTTCTGCAGGTGTCCACAGGCCCAGTCTCCCACAGACCAGCTCTGGGACTGGTGTGGAGGAAGATGGGGCTTCCTTGGCTTTATCTTGTGTGCTGCTGGGAGGGCACTCCCGGCCAAAGAGCAGAATTCCCACTCTAAGTGTCCCTCCGGGGCTCACCTCTGCACTCAGCCTGCACGCTGCTCTGGGCAACACCCTTTGACACCTGTCCTTGGAGAGACTTGGGGCTGAGAATGCATGTGTGGCGAGCTGCGTGGGGATGCACAGGCTGAGCTCCTGAGTGTGTCATCGAGTGTGCGCAACTGAGAGACTGAGCATGTGCAGGTGATTGATGGAAACGGAGCATGTGCAACTGGGGGTGACTGAGTGTGTGCTGCTGCATTCTGTGTAACTCGATTGTCGATTGTGGAAAGCTAGTGTGTGCAAGTAGGTGTAACTAAATTTGTGCAACAGAAGAAAGAGTAAAACGTCACTGGGGTAGGGATAAGCAATGGGTGAGCAATGTTGAGTGTGTGTTGTGTAAGGGAGCTGGTGTGAGCAGATGAGTGGGGGAGTGAACACTGATGTGGAGCTGAAGCTGCAGGCAGATGGCAGGGTGTGTGTGGGGGGGGGTGGAGAAGAGAGCACCTGCCTGGAGGGAAGGTAGCTTACAAGAGGTGTGAGCAGATGGTGGATGGAGAACCTCCAGCAAGGGTGAGAGTCTGTTTGAGGGCAGCTGAAGCCAGTGAATGAAGGCTTGGGCTCTGCTTGTTCGGGAACACTTTGGGGCGAGACCAGCATCCTCTTCAGAGCTGTTAGCAGGGGCCTCGCTCGCTCCCCTGTCTGCCTGCTTCCGTGCGGGTGGGTCACCGGGCGGAGGCTTTGTCTCTGGAGTGGTACAAACACACCCTCAGCTGCACGGGTCTCAGGTACCCAGTCCACCCAGTCCACGTAGGGGGAGCTGTTCCTTCCTGGGGGCTCAGCTCTGCCCAAACTGGGAGGGTATGAATGGCAACAGGCACCCACGTGCCAATGGGTGGTGGGAGTCCCGCCTCCTCTGAATCTGATCTGCTTGTTCCTGTGTGCAGGCTGTGGCTGCCCATGGAGAGCTGTGCTGGGGGGTGTCCGAGTGGGGGGATGCTGGGGAGAAGGAAGACTGGTTACCTGTGGGAGTCCGGGTTTAATCATCACCAGCTGCATGCAGGGGTCAGGCTGTAGCTGTGACATCTGAACACCACCTGGGTGGAGGCGTCTCTAATGAGCACCTGCACCCCACCCCCCAAATTCAGGGCCCAAGTCAGGAGCAGGGGCTCAGGGCTCTGTGGAAAGTGCCATCTGGGGCTGGGAGTCCCCTTTGCCAAGAAAGG